GCCCCAGGCTCTACCCTCTCCTCCCAGCCCAGCCTCTTCCCTGGGTTTGGGTTCTGTCACATAGGTCTGATCCTGCTATGAGGACCTCTTGGAGGATAGGGTGGGAAGGAACAATTAAAATTCTCAGCAAGTGGCCGAGAGAACGACCTTCCTGACAGGATTAAGGGGAGCCACTGGGAATTACTGAGAAACAACAAATCAAGTTATGAGCCCAGGGAGGTTGATTGAGAAAGGAGACTAAAAGGATTTCTGGCTGGGATTCAGAGGCTTGGCTGACTCCCACCCCCACCTCCTTCGGGGTTTTAAGAAAATTAAATGGTTCTCAGTCTTCCTTTCCTGCCAAATACACGGCTCACAAGCTGGGGTAAAATGCTCATCAGAGAGTAGTCACCCTCCCCTCTGCCCCCATCTCCCTCCATTTTCTCCCCAAACCAGCCTGACCTCTGGATAAGCTTCTCGTCCGAAGGGGGGTGGGAACTCTATATCACCCCACTTCACTTTGCAGATGTAGTCGGCCGTGGCATCCACCTTGGCTGCCAAGTCAAGGATGTAGACGCCATCTTTGGTCACCACTTTAAGAAAAGCAGAGGCAATCAGACATCGGTCCCAGCAGAGGTGACCATCAACCTTAGCGGACTCCCCCCACACCCCACTCCCGTGGGGGCCCACCCAGTGCCTAACAACTCTCTAGCTCAGCAAGAAACCACAATGGTCCTTAGGGAGACCCAGCTCTTCTCCATGAAAGGACAAACAAATTCTCTGCCCGCCAACCTTACCTGTAGGTAATATGACAGGGGAGTCTGTTTCAGTTCCCATTTTTAAAACAGTTTGCAATTTTAAAACATTTTTATAAAATGCTACTTTCCATGCCTTAAATGTCTAACCATTCACCCATTCACAACCCTGCCAATTAAAAAAAAAAAGGTATTTAAGGTGCAGGCTCTAAGATCCCCTAGGTGTGCACACAAGGGTTTCCCAGGGTCGGGCAGAGAAGTGGGAGGCAGGGGTGGGAAGCCAAGGGTGCACTGGGCCCCTGGCCAGCAGGATTCATTTACTGCTGTCTCGCTGGAGTCCATCTCCCTTTCCCCCAGGGCCATTTAGCTAATTAAGTTAGCACAGAGCCATCTGGTCCATTAGAGGGACTGCATCCCTAGCTGGAATCAGAATCGGACTTTGCCCTCAGAAGCCCTGGCCAGAGCCAGCCCATGCCACCTGCCTGCTTCACAGCCTGAGAGGCTTTGTCAAGGTCTCCCCAGCCCTGGGGAGTCAATGATTGACCAGCTCCTGGGGGGACGGGGAGGGGAAACTGTGAGGAACCAAAAGGAAGGAAGGAAGGGTCTTGCCGGTCAGACTGAGGCAGGGGCAGCCCAGCTCCTTGCAGAACAGCCTAACCCTGCTGGCTGGAAGAGCCACAGGGCAGAGTCAGATCACAACCAGGACTTCCCCCATCACAGACAAATTAAGACCAAAGAAATAAACTGGCGTTGGTGAAAAAGAGGACTAATTATGGCCTTCGGAGAGCTCAGAAACAGGAATCCGTGAGATCCATCCACCCACACACACCTGTCTGCACTGCCCTCTGCAAGTTGGGGTCTGGTCCTCAAAACATCAAGGCCAGGCTGACTCTAGGCACTGGGGTCTCTGCCACGTGACCCTGGTCCCATCCCAGCCCAGCAGAGATAGTTACCAAGGGGGTTGATCTCAAGGTAGGTAAAGTACAGATCCTCATAGAAATTGAAGAGGCCGGAGATGAAGCTGACCAGGATTCTGAGGGAGGGGAAGAGAGGGACCGTCAGGCCATCAGGGAGCGGGCTCTGCAGCAACCTCTCACTGCCACTGACAGCTCCACTGCCCGACACTCGCCCTGCTGGCACCCCCTCTCCTCCATCCCCACGCTGGTTTTCCTCTGCAAACACTGCTCCCTGGACGTCCATCACCCTTCAGCCACTGAGGCAGAAAGCAGCTGTCAGGCACAGAGCAGGAGAGGAGACACATGCCAGACAGAAAGGGCAGGGAGGTGAGGGACGCTGACGCATATCTCATTCTGAGCCAGCCTTCCCTCTGCCCCTAGCCTCCCTCTCAGGGACAGGGAGGGGCTGTGCCTGCCACCTGCTCCCCGTCTTCCAGCCAGATGCTGAGGCGGGGCGGTGGGTGTCCAGACAGGGGAGACCACGCTGCTTCCCCGGCTGCATGCCCAGACCTGTTGGCCTTCCCCGGTCCCCTGCAGCCACCTCCCTCTGTCCTCTCACTCAACTCTTTCTTGTCTTCGGGGGCATGGACCAACAGGTGTTTCTTGATGTCCTCGGGATTCAGCTTCTCATCCACGCCAACGAGCAGTTTCTGGGCTTTGGCGTCCACATCACCCACGTCCACTCCTCCTTCATGGTGGAATAAGACATAGTCCCCTTCTCGGGTGGCATAGATGCAGACGTAGAACTCCTCCGCCTTAGGGGAAAGAGAGCACCACGTGGGAGAGGGGCCCTGAATGGGGGATGCAGAGCCCAACACTGGTGGCAACATTTCTAAAACTCAGCAGACAACTCTCACCAGGGGAGATCCGCTCACCACGTTCCCCTTGGGGACTAGAGGAGACAAGAGGCCACTGCCTTGCTGGTCAACAGTCCAGACTGAGCCAGAATGACCTGCTATGGGGGAGAGGGTCTTGCTTTCAAGCCCTTCTCATCCCAGCACTGGGAAGTCCCCTCTGTTACCAGCCTTGATTCCTTCCTGCTGCAAACTAAGCTCTTTTCTTCATCTCTGGACTCCCTGATCCGCAGCACCCTCAGCACAGCTTCAGAGACTCTGGTCCGTTTGACTTTTCTCCAGCAGCTTTATTTCTCCTTTCAGCATTTTAGGATCAACAGACTCAGAGCTTCAGGAAGGGGGAGACCCAGATTGAAGCCAACTCACACATACCTGGCTGTGGGGGACGAAGGGTTCGATCAGAAAGTTCTTGAGGAAGCCTCTGGCCTTGCCAATCTACAGAGATTGAGGGAGATAAAGCTGAGATGAACAGGATGTCTTTCTCCCAGGGTAGGAGAAGGGACAGCCCTCTGCTCCCTCTACTTCACCCTCCATCAGAGCTGGGGCCCAGGCACTAGGGCCACAACCCCTGCCAGGAAAAGATTTTTCCAGAAACCAGGGCAATAGGGTCCCAAACCCCTATGCTAAAGAAGTCTTCACAGGATCCCCTCTTCCATCCACTGCCCTGTGCCAGCCACACTGCGATGGGCACTGACCTTGGACATTCGTTTCTGCCTCCTCTGGAGGGTGATTAATGAGCTGCAACATCGTCCCACCCCCAAAAGCAGAGTTCGGGAGTCATCTCCCTCTCTGCTGTCCCACAGATTGAAAAGCTCAGACAAATCAAGGCTCAGGTAGGGAGACCCAGACTGAGAACAAGAGTCCAGGCATAGGGAATGGCTGCAGGGGAGGGAGGGGAGGTTGACGGGGGAAACTTCACCACACAGACTTTCCTGGCTGAGGACAACAGGCCTGCAGAGCTAATCAGTTAGAGTGGGGCCCTGGTGGCAGTAGAGGCGAGACAGCCCTCATCCCTCCCAGCGAGTCCCAAAGCCCCTGCCCGCCCATGTGTGCGTCATTGCTGAGTCAGGGACCAGACAGTGATCCATCAGAGGTAATGAGCCGCTCCTGCAGGGCCAACACTGCTGCCAGCTCAGATCCCCAGCATTCCCCTCCCAACAGCCAGCTGAGGAGACGGGAGCATGAGGACCTTCCTGGGGACACAGCTCAGCCCCCAACCCGGCTGTTTTTCCCACAAAGGTCTGGAAGCACGAAGGTCAAGATCCCTCCACCCCCAGGCCCACGTATAACTTCAAGGATCCCTCTTTACCCACAAGGGCCAGAGACTGGGAAATTAACACGAAGAGCTGATTTGAGGAAGCCCCGTAAAAAGGAAGATGGCCTCATCACCATCTTCATTCTACTTCTGGGGCAGCCAAGGTAGAGAACAGCTTGCCCTTGGTCCACGGCCACCCCAAACAGGACAAAGTCAGGTATGGATGGCACATCCTCCCCAGTGTAAGCCAAGCCTCAGCCCACTCCCCTTCAGTTCTCCAGCTCCCTTTGGGAACAGGAAAAGAAATGTAATTGTATTTCTGGGCATCACTTAGCCTTTTTAAGACATATTTCACTGTAACTCTCTCATCTACTAGTTGAAATTAATCAACAAGCTAGGAGAAGACAAGAACTTGAATTTACCCTTCAGCATTATTAACCGTCTCATGCTAGGTTCTTGGCCTAATAACGGTTCTGCATCTCCCTTCTGCAACTTTTTTTTTACCCACCCTCCTAGGTACACATGTCACGACCCTTTCTGGAAATTAAAAAGAAAGGAGTTTCCAGAATGGACCTCAGAGTCCCACTCTGTGACAGACATTAAAATAGACCATTTCCATCTGGTTCTTGAATGGCACTGGGGTTATGTGTCCAGTACATCTTGCCATTCCCTGATAGGGTGAGCTGGGAACGGCCACTGAGGCTGGCCCTGCTGTCTATATCAGTTCTGCTGGATTCCTGTCTTCCCCAGGCTGCAATCTGACCAGTTGTGGGGGTGACCCAGGGTCACTGATCTGGAGGTGACATTTGCTTCTGTTACCACAGCACATCCACCCTGACCCTATACCCAGACTCACTGTGGCTTCCTGTCCCAACAGTGGCTTCAGCCAGGACTTGACTCCGTCCAGAGTGAGGTTGACCCCAACGAGGCCCAGCTTTCCACGACGTTTGATCAACTGGTCTGGCTTGACCACCAAGCTCTGCAACAAGAGTGGTTTGTATTCAGAACAAGGAAAGAGGACAAAGTAAGAGCTGGTAGTCTGGGGACCCAAAGCATAGGATAGCCTGAGTGGCTTCCAGTCCGCCTTACTCCCAAAGCCAATTCCACCCACCCTTCAAGGTCAACTTCTAGAAGCTTCCCTCACCTATCCCAGCCAGCATCTTTCTTTTGACCAGGAACTAGAGCCATCTGTGCCCAGGATGGAGCCTGGCACAGAGTAGGTGTTCACCAGGTACGTGCTGAGTGAATAAGTAATTCCATACCCTCCCTATGTGGTATCTTACCCTCATTCAACTTCTCGGAATATGGACTAGCACCTGTGCTCCAAAAGGAAGAACAGAGAGATGGAGCCTTGGGGTGACGAAGGACCTTAGAGGTCATTTGCTCACATCCCTCCAGTGCCAGGAAGTTCACCACCTCCTTCCTGCATGGGTGGGCTGCCTCACAGTGGGAGGAAATCTGCATTCCTGAAACCCCCACTACTGGTCCTAATCCTGCTCTCTGGGACCTGCCAGAGAAGCTTCCAGATGCCTTCCCAACCATGCAGGGATCTGGAGAGAGGAGCTTCTACTCCAGGGTGGATCCCATCAGCCATCCTGCACGAAGTACATCACACTTCCTCATGGCCTGACATACTCCCGACAGGCTCCCTTTTTGGGTGGGGGGAGGTTGAGGAGGCGGGAATCTACTTTTTCTTGATCATCTACCAAGTGCCAAGCTGACACTAAACACCTTCCAGTAACTATTGCTGATCTTTACAGCTCAGAGGGTCACTGTTATTCCCATTTGACAGATGGGGAATTTAAAACTCAGAGAGGTAAGATGGCTTGCCTCAGGCTGCATGGTTAATAGATAGAGAGCTGCCATCTGGATTCCATTTTGTCCAGTTCCAAGTCCAGGCTCTGTACACTGTGATAGGGGACTATAGCATGCGGGGCCCAGAGCTAAACACAAAACCCCACTCAAGCCCCCTGCACGCTGCCCACTGACGCAGGCTGTCTGTCATCACGTGGACCTCTCCAACAAACCGACTGCTTTCTCTGACTCTGACCCTGGGCCTGTAGGAGGGGCCTGGGCTGGGGGCAGGCTCACCTGGCTGAGCAGCCATGGGTGGTCCTGCAGCAGGTGGGCCCAGTCCGTGTCAGGGGTGACCCGGGCATACTTGAACCGGTTCTGGATGGCCGAGGTGGTGCAGATGTACTTGTAAAGGAGTTCTTTGCCCGTCTGCTCCGAAATCGCCTTGGCCGACATGGCTGCGGGGGGACCTGCTCTACCTGTTGAGGTGAGAGAGGCTAGTCAGTAGGGGCTGGGAAATGGAGATGCTATCTTCTCCAGCAGGACAGACTCAAACCCAGCTGCCCCCAGACAATAAAACCAGATCTCTGTGCTTCTCAAGAGGGAGAAGAGGGCTGCCCCAGCACAAGGGATGGAAGGGACATCTCAGACAGCACTTCTGACAGCAGAGAAGGATCAGGAAATGATGGGTGAGGGAAGATGGTGGAGAAAAAGTGGCATTTCCCCAGGGACTCTTGGCTCCTCCCTCTAGGCAAACCAGCCCACCCCTGACCACATCCGTCCTGGAGCAAAGGCAGCTGGATGGGGAGACCAGGAACAGCAGGGGTGTGCCTCAAACCTAAGTGCCAGTCCCATCTGAGGTGGGCATACAGACACTGAAACACAACTTTTGGTACTGTGACCTGTGGGGAACACAGCCCAAATGGTGCAGTGCTGGCCTTACTCCCCCTACAGGTCTCCCCCTGGGCCCAGACTCACCCATTTCACACACTTACATACACCACCACCCTGAGGGCTGGGCAAGCAAGTCTGCTTAGCCTCAGGCAAGACCAAGCCCACCCTCTCCCCAGCCCCAGCTAAGAGGAAAAGTCATGTCAAAGCCCATTCTCCCAAGACGGAGTTCACATCACTGAGTTCACAGCAGACACAGGGTGTGACCTTTAGTGCATCCCACCCACCCCTGCCGAGTCATCCAGCTACTAATAATTTAGAGCAAAACAGGGGCCTCTCTGGGGACCACCCATATGGGTCACTTCTAACTGAACCAGAGCTGGGGAAAGAGACAGAAATCATCCTCCACATATACAGAAACTCACCGTATGTGAACCCTGGGAGGTGCATGGAGATTCGTAACTCTGTTTCTTAGATGAAGAATAAGAGCTCAGAGAGGTTAAGATAACCTGCCCAAGAAGCCTCAATGAAACCAAACTCTCTCACTCCTGATCCCCAGAAATCCCCACACCTCAGCCCTAGACAAAAGACCATTTCTCCAAGGACCAGACCATGTTCCTCCTTGACCTCACAGAAGCATCTGTGATGACAATTTCTTCATCTTTCCTCCCCATTGCTTTGACCTGACACACTCATTCTCCTTTGGGTAGTGCCAGGAGTGACTAGAGAAAGAAATGGGGTGGGAATGGGGGTGGAGAAGGAAACTAAGTCATTCATGCCATGAGCTTGGCCAGATCACGAAAAGTCATTCCTGTCTCTCCCACAAAGATTCAGAACTGAAGTTACTGAATTTGCTGGGGGAGAAAAGTCAAGTGCAAATAAAGGAGGGTGGAGCTAGGGAGCTGGCTGGTTTATACACTGCAGAAAGGTTGGTCTCCATTCCCAGCTCAGAGAAGGCCAACATTCCAGGGGCCACTCAGCATCTCCCTCCCAACTGGCCAGGCTGGGCTTCAGGTTCTACTCCTGGCTTGGCCAGCTCATTTAGCCTCCCAGCTGGTCTCTGGCTCAGCACAAAGGGAGCATTCAGTGTGGTGTCTGGCCCAAAGTGGGGTAGCTGGGAAGGGGCTCCAAGGAGACGGTCCCTTTTCTCACTTTCCCCTGGGAGGAAGTCAACTTCCGGCTCCTACTCAACATGAGTTTCCAAAGGAGATGCCTCAACCAGCCCCACTGCCCCACAGTCTTCCACACCCCAACCCCAACACCCACTCCAGATCCATTTCCCAACCTTCTTAACTCAGACCAGAAAAACTGGTCCTGAAATCAGACGGGTACACCTGACTCCCAGGCTGAGTGCAGCCCAGGACAGAGAAAGTAGAGAAAGTAGGGACAGCTGCTGACCATCCTCAGCAGCTCAAGCACATCAGCCACTAGTTGATCACAAAACAAACTCCAGGAGGAAGGAAGTCCTTAGCTAAGCCTCTTCAGCAGAGAGACACCCCCAGAACAAACCCCCCCAAACCTGGTACCTCCCCAAAGAGACAAAGACCCAACTTTAAGAAAGGACTTGGAGGGAAAAAGGATCTTCTGCAGCTGAAAAAAAAAAATCACAATTTTCTTGAGCCCTGGATCAAATCTCAGATCTAAGAGCTCATCTCCACTGAGTCCCTGGGAGGGGGATGGGAGGGAAGACACAACAAGGGGATGATATAGGATAGAAAAGCTTTGCCAGCTCACCCAGACACAGATTTGCCACTAGAGCACTTGGGCTTGGATGGGACAGGCCCTCTCAAGGCCAAGACAGAGAATTCCTATGATAGAATAAAAGCAGGGAAAGAATCTGGTCTCTTGCATATTCGCCAAAACAGGGTAAGGTGGCTCATAAACCCAGGCTGTGGACTAGGTGGAGATAAACCACAAATTTAATCATTCACTGGGGTCGTGAAGTCTCTCCAGGGCAGTCGTCTTACTTGAGGTCTCAGACTCTTTTCAGCACCTGAAGAAAAGTCCAGAAAAATGTGCACATACACAATTACGCATATCATTTCAAGGTGGTGACCTGTAACTATGATCTGACGGCCCAGAGACCACCAGTTAATATTTGTTAGAGTGACAACAGGGACTTAACATGTATATCAACCTGGGCTAGGAACACACACACACACCCCCTCCCCACTGGGCTGCTTCCTCAGGAACTGAGTAACTGAATGTACCGTCAAACTGGTCAGAGATGGTTTCAAGGCAGAGCTAAGACCCCAGGGGTCCACAATGGGGGCCCAGGAACTGTTACTGAGTACCAGGTATATTTGAGGGAAATCATGCCAAGGAACGTGAAAATACACACTCTCTCTCTCTCCAAGGGAAGGGCTTTCTGAGCTGAATGGGATCTTTTCTGCACACAGGATAAGTGACCCAGAATTGAGTTCATCCACAGAAGCCACCAGGGGCAGAAGCAGCCCACAGGGAAGGCTGAATGAAAGGGGCCTGTTCCCCAACATTGCACCCCTGGGACACAGCCAGTGGAGAGGAACCACTGGGGATGCTACTTAGGGTCTCTGTGGAAAGGACAAAGAGCACTTATTTTAAGGTTAGCATCCACAGGATTGGGTTTTATGAAAGCACAGGTAATCCCTGGAGTAAAGGAGGGGCAGAACTCTGAGGGTCCCCTACTGCAGCAAGCATAGTGGAGAATGGGGGTGGGGCCACCAGCCATCCAGCACAGTACAAGGGTTGTTCCCAGCACCATCCCCCAACCTGTTGAAGTAGCTTTCTAAAGAGGTGAAAATATCCCTCTGGGCAGCTGGGTCTACCAGCTGTCCCTCATCCAACATTTCAGATACCCAATGATCTGAGCTAGCTGAGACACAGAACAAAGTTAAAGGGTGGAGAGAGGAATGGGCTGGCTGACCAAACTGTGCTATGCACTGCTCCGCTCCCACCCACACCCTAATATCCTCTTCCCAGGCAGACTCCCGAGGACTACCTAACGGCAGAACTCCTTAGTACTTCGCAGTATCTGCCAAGGTTGGAGAGGGCAGCAGGCGCTGGGACTGGCCCTCTGCCAAGTCTGACAGGAGGGCGGCGGCAGCATCCTCCAGCCCCTTGAGGACCTTGCCTCGGTCAAGCTTGGCATCAGCGCCAGCCAAGAGTGGGGAGGGCGACGGGCACCTGGCCATCTGTCGCTTAGACGCTGGGCCCGACGGCACCTCCAGAGCGAGGAGCATCCCTCCTGCGCCGCCGAGCCATGGATAGGTCCTCGCGGCGCGGCCTGGAGCGGGCCGGTCCCCTCGTGGCCCGCAGCCGGCCGCGCACCCGCCTCGCTCCCTCCACTTGGGCGCGGGGCTCAGTCGATTC